CCAGTATAAAAAAATGTTCAATGTTCGAAATCCGTGGCATATATATATATATATATATATAGCATGGCCATCTTTGTAGGACATCTTGTTCCCGTTATAGAGTACTACGCGGAAACCAGCACCATTGCTAGCCTACTATTATATATGTGATGAGCTGTTGAAGCTTGCGTTATAGCAAATACTTGCAGATTGCAACAGAAAAAGTCCTGAGGATGGAACAAATTAAATTGGTCCCCGAGGAAGCAAGCATTATTTATATGCAGTAAATTAAGAGAAAAAAAAAAAAAAAGGTATGCGTACGTGAGGCTAGTTATCGATCTGTACAGTGACTGTCATATTGGATATTTAGCCGTAGAATATATAATAAATATCAAGAAAACAATCACTAGAATATAACAGTTCTGAAATAAAAACGAGCATTATTTCCTCCAGTTCCTTCAAAGCATGAAAGGGTAGCATCCATCAACTATACAGGGAGTATATTCTCTAGTAATTACTTTCTTATGCCAGATTTGAGAAAATTGTAGTATACAACTATAGACTGAGGCAAGGAAACCAGAAACCCTTACGATGGATGCTCATATGGAGGGTCTATTAATTGCGAAATTAATACTACATGGGAAAGACTCTGAGTAAAGGGACCCCGGAAACTGGAAAGTACAGGATAACATCGAGGTCGATGACTAAGAAACCCTAAAATGGATATGGCAGTCTATCAATGATGGAGCCAAGAGGGCTTTGAAAATTTTAATTTATAATATGTAAATAGGTGTGTAAAATAAAATTGGCCCCCCCCTAAATTTTTAAAATTTTAGTTTATATTATGAGAGTTGACATATATATATGAATTAGTCATCTTTGAATTAATTTTTTTCTTTAAAAAAAGTTATTTATTTTTTATTGTACTAATTATTCAAAAATTAAACATATCATTTGATGTTCCATAGTAAATTGACCCAATGTGATGTATTAGAATAAAAAGACCCAATTCATAATTGTTAAAAGCAAGAACTAATACGTCTAAGAATAGAACTTCAACATTTTGAGCTTGACATTCCAAATCATCTTGAATTGCAAGAATTATTTGGTATTCATGAGTTATGTCAAGGCTTGGTGAAAACAAGAAAATCAGTGATATATTCTCTTATTGACATATTGATTAGACTTGTTCTTACTCTTCCTGTATCAACTGCAACTACAGAGCGGACATTTTTAATTATGAAAATAATCAAGACAAAACTCCGAAACAAGATGGAAGATAATTTCTTGAATTATTGTCTAACTGTGTATATAGAAAAGGAAGTTGCTAAAAAATTTAGCAGTGATTCAATCATAGATGAATTTAGTTCTATGAAAGAGCGTAGAGCTCAATTTACTTCTAAGAAAAGATGTTGAAATTTCAAATTATGTTAACATAACTTTTATCTTTTTTCAATTGAAAATAGTTACATTTATATTACATGGTTATATATATATTGCATAGGTGACATATTGGAGAGCATCTTCTCATAATGTGCAAATTGGATGGTTTGTAATGTTATAAGATATTTAATCAAAAGTTATCTTTTTTGTTAATTTTTGTTATGACTATACCGCATATTTATGAATAGACATACATTTATAATTAAATTTAATATTTGATATTTTTAGATGTCATATATTTAAATAGAAGAAAATTATTTTGAACATAATATATTAAGATAATTTTATTAGGAAAAAATTTTGGCCCCCCTCAAAAAAAAATCCCGGCTCCGTCACTGCATGCATGTGTATGCATGCATGCATGTATGTATATATATATAGACACAGAAACAAATACTCTATCATAAGCACAAATGTAAATTGAAGAGACATCCCTATGTTCAATTGTAAACTCACGTTTATTCCATGGGGGCTAACAGGAAATAAGACTCTTCTCTCCATCATAAGCAAAGTCCTTACCAACTATAATTCAGTGTCATAGGTCTCCAGTACCGTTCTATATTCATCTCGTGAATGATCAAGGAATTTTTTTTTTTGTTAAACCTTGTAAAACTCATGCTTTGTTTATTTGCCAGCCGGTATGCAAATTATCAAAGGCAAGTCGAAAGATTATTGTGATTTTGAAAGTTACAAACTCTTGTGAATCGCTAATTTTCTCAACCCATTGTTAGTCTATCACCTTATCCTCAAAATATTGGTATTTCACTCTCTGAATTTTAAACATCCATACGAATATGCAAAATCTATTTACAACATTTGTAATGGTACTATATTCGAATTTCAATTACATAAATTTTATTATAGTACAAGTGGTTACTTTTTCTTAGACTAATAATTTTTAAATCCTTAATTTGCTAACAAAGAAATTGAAACGATATTATATACCATGTCATTGGTAAAGTAATTTAAGGATATGGGTATTAATTATTTGAACTAACTTTTTATGCATCAACAATCAGTGTAGTAATTTTTTACGCTAATAGCTTTGAATGTTTGACACATATGCATGATTTAAATTTCAAAATTGAATTCGTGTTATGTGGCATGATTTAAACTTGCTAATATTAAAAAAATATATACACTAATATCATATAAAATTTTATCTTATTTTTTTTACATAAACAAGCAATTAATATTTCAAAACTGAGTTAATGAATACCACCTTACACTCTACAGCCAAATGTTATAAAGGCTTTTATTCTTACCAATTTCAAAGGTCAAAATCGACACTAATTAGGTCCTGTTTGATAATCCAATTCCGCACTTAAATTTAATGAATTTAGATCTTAATATGTTTAGACGTGTCTGATAACCAAAAATTGAACATCTGAATTAATTAAATGGTACTGAATTTTTTAGGCAAAATTTACTCCCAAAAATAAGTGATAAGTTATTTACTTATCACTGAATGTAAAACACACTTAAATGTATCTGATTTAATACTTATCAATTCAATAATTTAATGGATTCAAACTTCATATTTCAGTTTCATCAAAACTGAATGGATTCAAATTTCAGATTTCAGTTTTATCAAACGCACTTAAGTCTTCAACGTCCGACTCCAACAGTAACTTCTAAAGGATGAAATTTGGATTTCATAAAAAGTCCACGCCTTCGATTGTCAATGACCAAAGGCGGGGTTTTCCGTTAATTCTACTCCTCGTGTCTTGAATAGGCATGTAACGTGCCGCGGGGGCGCCTTCAAATGGTCTGCTTCGCTGGACTAGCTGTTTAGCTAAAACATCAGAGGCAGCTTTAACATACATAGACTGAAGTTACTGAAATTTCTGGATCTGTTTGGTGCAGACTCCTTTTTTTAGTTCACATTGATGAAGGAAATGGAAGACCAGAGAACAAAACTATCCTCGGCCCTCATCCACCGAATCTTACAAAAGATGCAATAAGTATAATGCAGGGTATGCTATCAGTCAACCTGAGAGCAAGATGTCAATATCTGTGTGACATGGTGAGTACAGGCTAATATTGATCAGAACCTAGATATGGTCGAACCTTTTTTTTTTTTTTTTTTTCTGGGAAGAAGAAGAAAGGTATGGGTCACAACTATTAAAGCTTCTCAATCAAAAACGGTGTAGCAATATCTAAATGAAGTATCACTATCACATTAATTAGTAATTTACATCATCTTTTGCACGCCATCCAAACTAAGCAGAAAAACTCGAACTTGAGATTGAGTTTGATAGAAACCTTGAACAATCTTAGCTTAGACCCTAGGCGAAGTCAAATTTTTTTTTCTTAGGTCAGTTTACATTTGCAAGAACAAAAAGTTGTAATAAGATTTCTTTTCTTTTTTTTTTTGATAGAGTTTGATAGAAACCTTGAACAATCTTAGCTTAGACCCTAGGCGAAGTCAAAATTTTTTTTCTTAGGTCAGTTTACATTTGCAAGAACAAAAAGTTGTAATAAGATTTATTTTTTTTTTTTTTTTTTACCAATTTGGCAAATTTTAATTTTAAAAGGACTTCACTAGAACTTTTAGAATATTAGAGGGTAAAAACACGATTTTTATTTTCTTCAGGGTAACCGTGCAAGTTCAATCCAATCATCCACAGCTCCAACGTTACTTGTTTGGTTCAACAAGGCTCGAATAAGCAAAAATAGAGTATCCACAGTTCAGTTCCACTTGAGCCAAAACTTTGTATACTGACATATGAAAACTAAGGTAAGGTACATTACAGTTGACTCAATGTGATATAAATTTTTGTATAGGGAGTGAAAGCTTCATATTGAATATGATTTTGCATGCTAAAGATTTTGAATTTTTAACTTAATCACAATTTTTACTAGAGTTTTTAAAAATCAAACTCGAACAAATGTTGAATTGAAATAATGTTGTTTACTCATTAATTTTCTTTTAAACCGCCACTTGATGAAGAACTACAAGAGAGTGAGTTGTATGGGAAGTGAACGCTTCATATAGAGTATGTTTTGCATGCTAAAGATTTTAAAATTTCAATTTAATCACAAATTTTTTCAAAGTTTTTTAAAGTCAAATTTTAACTAATGTTGAATTGAAATAATGCTGTTTACTCATTAATTTCCTTTCAAGACATCACTTGACGAAGAACTACAAGAGAGAGCGAAAGAATCTAATAACTTTGTCACACTGGATAACCCTTCCTTCTCAATTGTATCATGTGTGTTAATTAATCAGTACAACAAAACATTTCCCAGAACGAGGGATAACTTGCTGCTCATAATCCTAAAGTTTTTCAAAATCGTAGATTGCCCCTTAAACTTTTAATTTTAACAATTTACTACACTCTAATTATCAAAAAAAAAAAAAAAAACAACTTACTACACCCTATCAAATTTGAGATCAAATTTTCACACCAATCTCAAATCCACTCAATTGTGTCAATTAACAAACTAATATGACTATTTATCCTCGTCCCGTGCTCCAAAAAAGTCCTCTTATTTTTATTGTGTCAACTTCAATATATAATTGTTTTTACTCTTTATCATCTCTCTCATGTTGTAGCAACGCTTTTGGGGTTTACTGGATTGCAACAACAACTATCACCTGAAAAACGCTCCCACCTAATTCAGACGTCTGGCGTGGAGGTGCGGTAAAATATCCCACCCCAAAGCCACCCCCCAAATCCCCAACGCCAACCTCATCTCTTTTTCTCGCCAGTTTTCAGTTTTGTCCTATTCAAGCTTCCTTTCCAAAATCTTAAACCCTTCCCCCCCAATTCCACTTCTCTCTCCAAACCCTAAACCTCCAATTCCTAAATCCCTACCATGGCAGTGGTGGCGCCGGCGCCGGCGCCGTCGGCGATTATACCCCAGGAACTCTACCCGGCTGATGAGGATTTAGCCTACGAAGAAGAGCTGCTCCGCAACCCGTTCAGTTTGAAGCTTTGGTGGCGTTACTTGATAGCCAGATCCGAAGCCCCATTTCGAAAACGGGCCATAATTTATGAGCGAGCCCTAAAAGCCCTGCCCGGAAGCTACAAGCTATGGCATGCCTACCTTCGCGAACGGCTTGAGCTGGTTAGGAACCTTCCAATTACTCATTCTCAGTATCAATCTCTGAATAATACTTTCGAACGGGCCCTTGTTACAATGCATAAAATGCCTCGCATTTGGATTATGTACTTAGAGTCTTTAACTAATCAGAAGCTCGTGACCAAAACTCGTAGGGCTTTTGATCGGGCGCTTTGTGCATTGCCCGTTACTCAGCATGATCGAATATGGGCTCCTTATTTATTTTTCGTTAGCCAAAAGGGGATTCCGATTGAGACATCGCTTAGAGTTTATCGTAGGTATTTGAAGTATGATCCTGGCCATATTGAGGATTTTATAGAGTTTTTGTTGAATTCTGAGCTGTGGCAGGAGGCTGCAGAGAGGTTGGCTGGGGTTCTGAATGATGATCAGTTTTATTCGATAAAGGGCAAGACAAAACACAGGCTGTGGTTGGAGTTGTGTGATTTGTTGACTCAGCACGCTTTGGATATCTCTGGGTTGAATGTGGATGCAATCATTAGAGGTGGGATTAGGAAGTTTACGGATGAGGTTGGAAGGTTGTGGACATCGCTGGCTGATTATTATATTCGGAGGAAGTTGGTGGAGAAGGCGAGGGATATTTTTGAGGAAGGCATGACTACAGTGGTGACGGTTAGGGATTTTAGCGTGATTTTTGATGCTTATTCACAGTTTGAGGAGAGTATGCTTGCTTTAAAGATGGAGGAGATGAGTGACAGTGAGCTGGATGATGAGGAAGATAGTAATGAGACTATGGGTGGGGAGGAGGAAGAAGAAGAGGATGATCGTTTGGATATAAGAAAGTTGGAGAAGAAACTTAAAACGTTCTGGTTGAATGATGATAAGGATGTGGATTTGAGGTTGGCAAGGTTGGAGCACTTGATGGACAGAAGACCAGAACTGGCAAACAGTGTGCTGCTTAGACAGAATCCACATAATGTGGAGCAGTGGCATAGGAGGGTTAAGCTTTTTGAGGGTAATCCCACGAAGCAGATATTGACTTACACAGAAGCAGTTAGGACTGTTGACCCCATGAAGGCTGTAGGGAAGCCACATACTTTATGGGTTGCATTTGCGAAGCTTTATGAGACCCACAAGGATATTGCAAATGCCAGGGTGATTTTTGACAAGGCGGTGCAGGTTAATTACAAGAATGTAGATCATTTGGCTAGCGTCTGGTGTGAATGGGCGGAGATGGAACTCAGACACAAAAACTTTAAGGGTGCTTTGGACTTGATGAGGCGTGCAACTGCAGAGCCATCAGTTGAAGTCAAACGAAGAGGTAATCCATCCTTACTCTTTTTTTATATATTCAATTCCTGATAAAATGTATGGCTTCTTGTATTCTGAGTGCATATGATGTTGACTTCTGTATAGAATTGGCTGTGGACTGACATAATTGAATATCAAAAGCAGAAAAGAAGTGGTACTTGAGTTAGAAATGTAACCAGAAATCAAAGTATCTTAGTGTTATTCTCTTGCTGTGAATTCAAGAAAGGTGTCAAGAGGACAATACTGTATTTTGAAGTCAGTTAGCATACTGTGTCATGTGAACTAGTAGTTATTTTTTTTTGAAAGAATGTATCCAGTTCTATTCTCTAGCATACCATAAATTTCAAGAAAATATTTTGCAAATAACTTCTAGATGCTAGTAGAGTAATGATTCTAATGGGCACCAATTCATATGCTGCATTAAGTGTGCATTTAATTTAGTCTTATAGCTTCTTTTTACCACTTTAGTGAGTTCTTCTTTGCTCCTCGTCCTAGTGCACATTATGCATCAGTATGATTTTATCAGGATTTGGTAGTTTCAAGCATGAAGCCAGTTATTTCTATGATTTTTGTGGTTTTTGCTGATTCAAACATTAGATCCCAATTTACCTTGCACTGTACTTTTGTCCTCTTGGAAAAAATTCACAGATTTGTGTTATAATTTGGAGATTTGTTGAACTTTGTGGTTGCAAATACATTATGTCTTCTTTTTCCATGGGAAACGAACTATTATGGTTCACAAAATTTTTAAAAATGGGAGGTAAGAAAATAAAAAGAATCTGATTGGAATAAAAGCTAACACTTCTTGTATTGCTTTCCTAGATGTCTAATGTTATTTTGGTTTGTATGCTTCTAGCTTGAGGGGTTGTATAAAATTCCTTACGGTAGATTAATGATCCCCATTTTCTAAAGATGATTTATTTACAAGATATGGTCAAAAGAGGGTTCTCAAAAACAGATATATAATTTTGAGATGTGCTAGTTTGGAAATTGTAAATAGACAAGGAAGAGCAAAAGGTCTCTGCAAAGCAAAGGGCAATACTTTGTGTCTTTTGCTGGTTGTATTAGGATGCATTTTATTCTAATAATAATTGGGCATTAAGAGTACAATGGCGCCTAAACATTTGCTACATGTTACAGTGGCAGCTGATGGAAATGAACCAGTGCAGATGAAGATTCACAAATCCCTAAGACTTTGGACATTTTATGTTGACTTGGAGGAAAGCCTGGGAACCTTGGAGTCCACTCGTGCAGTTTATGAGAGGATATTGGATCTGAGGATAGCCACACCCCAAATCATAATAAACTATGCTATGCTGTTAGAGGTAGACCTTTGTCAGACCTTCTCTTCCAAAAGTTTATTTTTCTCCATCATCATCATCATCTTCTCCTTCATGTTTGTCTGTTTCTTTTAAATGGAAAAGGTAATCTTTGCCTTAATTTCTATTTGCTTTTGTTGATCTAAATTTCTGTTATTGAATTGTCAGGATCATAAGTACTTTGAGGATGCATTCAAAGTTTACGAGAGAGGTGTGAAGATTTTCAAATATCCACATGCAAAGGATATATGGGTTACTTACCTATCCAAATTTGTGAAGAGATATGGAAAGTCAAAACTAGAACGAGCTCGAGAATTGTTTGAGCATGCGGTTGAAGTGGTATGGAAGTATTTGTCTCATTCTCCAGAATCTTGCATTCTGGTGTATGCTTCATGCCTGTGATTACTTGTATTGATCTTAATTCACTTTTCTTTCTTCTAGGGGCATTCTAATATAAAAGAAACAAGCTTTAGAAGAAAACAGAAGGCAAATTTAAAGAGTGTGTATGAAGATTATGTCCAAAACTAACACACAACATTTGTTTTTAAATTTTCAGTTCTTTTTTTTTGTCTATTAGTAGTGACATCCTGTAAAATAAAGTCTAGAACAGTTGTCTCTTTCTATTGTTTGCATGGGTTTCATTGTTGGTATTGGTTTTTGTTTTGTAGTTAATTTGATTAATCCAGTACTCATATACCATTGCTAAGTCATTGCGCAAGTAGCAGTCAGTAAAAGTCACTTGTATGATTTTAAGGATTCTTCCATTGAAGTATTTAGTGTAGGGATCCTTACTGGAAATATGATGCTGCAAATTGTCCTATAGAAGACCATAATATTTTCTGCAGTGCTGACCACCTGAAACTTTCTTTATATCTATCCATATTAAGCAGCTGTCCATGAACATTGTACCAGCAAGAACTTCTACTTTTTGTGACTTTTCATACCAGTAGAGTATGCATTTAAATAGTTTATGGTTTATCTTTGATATGATTGCTTTATTGTCTCTTGTGGTTTCGATGATCTTGGGACTGCTGCTGAAGCATCAAGTGAAGATATTAATACTATTTTTATTTAGGCCCCTGCGGAGGTTGTAAAGCCATTATATCTACAATATGCCAAGTTGGAAGAGGACTGTGGTCTTGCAAAGAGAGCCATGAGGGTTTACGATCAAGCTACAAAGGCTGTTCCAGCAGCTGAGAAATTAAGCATGTATGAAATCTACATAGCTCGTGCAGCTGAAATTTTTGGTGTTCCGAAAACAAGGGAAATATATGAACAGGCAATTGAATCTGGTCTACCTGACAAGGATGTGAAGGTCATGTGCCTGAGGTATGCTGAGCTTGAGAAGAGCCTTGGAGAAGTTGATCGTGCTCGTGCACTATACAAGCATGCATCGCAGTTTGCTGACCCAAGATCTGACCCTGACTTCTGGTCGAAGTGGCATGAGTTTGAAGTGCAGCATGGTAACGAAGACACCTTCCGTGAGATGCTTCGTGTTAAAAGGAGCGTTTCTGCAAGCTATAGCCAGGTGTGTTTTGTCTTTACTGATTTTTTTTTTCAAAGTTTGGTGAAACATTCTGTCCCTGCTGGTGAATCTCAATGGAGTGCAACCTGTTCGAGTTATTTTCCTTTTCTTTAGATGCTATTGGGAAAATATTGCTTCTATAATTACTCATATCAACTACAACATAAGAACTTCTTATTTCCTGTTTTTGTGGTTGGCAACCATAAGACTTGGGAAGAGAAGTTACTTCCTTATTATGCTTCTAGGGAGATTCTGGTTTTTCTTTTCCTCTTCTAAGTCAGTTTTGGTTCTATTCTTTTGTACAAAAATTTTGGATCCTCTGAGATGTTGTGATGTTACATTTAAAGCTTTATGGTTTCTCTAGTATAAACTGCTGCACCCCAACAACCCCCTCCCCCCAAAAAAAAAAAATCCATAGGTGCTAATCCACTTTGGTTCTTCTATCCAGACTCACTTTATTCTTCCTGAGTACTTGATGCAAAAGGATCAGATGCAGACTCTTGAGGAAGCAAAAGATGTGCTAAAGAAGGCTGGGGTTGCTGATGATCAAATGGCAGCTCTAGAAAAGAAGTTGTTGCCATCTGCTAATGATGCTGTAACTAAAGATTCCAATCGCGTGCTTGGCTTTGTAAGTGCTGGTGTACAGTCTGTGGGTGATGGAGCACCTAAGGATACAGAAAATAAGGAGGATGTTGAACTACCCGAGGAAAGTGACTCTGAAGATGATGACAAGGTTGAGATAGCACAAAAAGATGTTCCTAATGCTGTATTTGGAGGTCTGATCCGGAAAAGAGAAGAGACTGATAACCCTGAAAATGGTGATGATGCTGCAGCAGGAAAAGATGAGGATGAAGGTCACCTTGGAGCCCTTGCAAGATTTAAAAGAAGTCGAAACGCTTAATGTTGGTTTGGTTTATGGCATTTGACTTGTCTATGAAGATTAAACAAAATTTTAGGTTTGCTTCACCAGTCAGTACCTGGTAAAGTGGATTTTTTTGTTGTATTCAGAAGCACTATCAAAAGTTCACTTGTACATTTTTCCCCTGCATCGAGGCTTTGTTTGTTTTTTGCTCTATGAAAGCAGAGTTGTGGACTAAAGAGCTGTTAAATAGTGAGCCTGATTTCTTTTACAATATAAACTGATGCCTACTTACAAACCCTAGAGGTTTTCTTGCCTGCATATTTTGGAATTTTTTCTTAATGGTTTTTCATTTAAGTGACTTGCAACTTTTTTCTCTTTCATTTAAGTGGACTTGCAATTTTTTTTTCCTCCTGCTTCCGGGATTAGCTTTCGAGTAATATGTGCATATTATATGGTTTGAGTTGCTTTGGTGCTAGACAACAGTTTGGTTTAAGATTGGGAAAAAGAAATGTTATATGTGCCAATTAACAAGGTTTTTGTCTGTTTACATTTGGTGGTTCTCTTAGTTGTGGAAGAAGCGGGTTCATCTTTGCTCTAGTCTTTGTGAAATATGTCCAACATAGTAAGTCAAGATCATGCTATTTCTTGTATCATGGGATGTTGATTGGTCTTTTCTTTCTTTTCTGAATGGTGAGGTTTTTGGATGTTTCTGTGCTTGTTTACAGTTTATTCTTTACTTGGCTAAAGAGAGAGAGCTGGAGATTATACTGGTGAGGTTTCACTCTTTATGGATCTGATTCTTTTGTATCTCTGTTGCATATTCAGAATGTTAGTTTTCTTCATATATCAAATGCTGCTTCATTATTTGTGGTGAAACAAGTAAGCTGATTTGCTGTTGCTTTCAGGCTTCACACCTTTGTTTCTCAATTTTTTGCTTGTAAACATAGGCGGACAGACATTTAGCATTCAGTTATGGGCTATTCTTTTGATAACTTGAACTTGAATACTAGGATTTTTCAGTCCTGGTTGTGTCTCCAGTTCTAAGGGAGCACTAATGTCCTTACATATGGTGTTTTCTTTGTTCGTCTTTGTGCTTGTAGTGGTATTAAATCTTCTTTGATTCATATGGCTGGACTGGAACCAGTAAAGCTAATTTTGGTTGTAATAGAGGTGCCTTTCTCCTCTGCTCCACGGTATCTGCACCATTCACCACTGTATTTATTTCCAGGTTAGTTGTTGGAGTATATCCTAATGCTAGTGTTTTTAAAAAAAGGGTTTAGTTATCAAATATGAAATGATATTTTACTTGCCATGTGCTTGTGCTTTGTACATCACAGTTGCATGCATATAAGTTCCAATGCAGCTGTACATGCATAAGTTCCATTTAAGTATTGCCTTATCCATTTAAAAGCACACACATAAAGTTGTTTGGGTGTGTGTTTACAGACATATCATGATGTATGTTATACTAAATGTTTATTAAATTGGATATTGTCGCATTCAATATGTAACCTGGTGCTTCTTTCCTAGAATTGTATTCTCCTGCTTGCTAACAATTCTGAAAGTTTGCTGCTTTTCAACCATATAATATGCACTTGAGTTGCACAACTGCAGCTATCATTTAATAGTTACGAGACTCTGCTGCTCGGCATTGCTGCCCCTCTATGCACGTTTTTATTTTTATTTTTTTTATTATTTAACTGCACACTTCATTTTTTCACTGTATTTGGCATTTTCTGATTCTTTTACTGTTTTCAGTGTAATTATAGCAGGAGATTTTTGTGGACTTGGAAATAAATGCAGGATGAGTATTTTCGGTTCAGGTTGTGACACCATGTGTATGTCCTTGTGTAGTTTTTTCTGTGGTTCTTTCTCTGTGCTTGTTGTGGTTATTCATCTTGCTCGACTTATATGGCTGGAATTAGTTTGTTCTTTTCTGACATAGATTAGTATGTTAATCGATATTCCTTCACTTTTTCTTTGTGTTGCCTCTATCCAGTCACCAGTTCACTGCTTTTCTCGGTTATGTTCTGTGCTAATGCACTATTCCTTTATTTTCTTGTTTTAATTTTCAATGGAACAGATTTTCAAACTGAAATAAGTGAGTGCCTGCCAATTTTGCATGTTGGTGCAGGTTGTAGAGATAATACACGTAAATCTAGTGCAACTAATGCATCATCTATTAATAACAGATATCTGCATATTCATGCTGCTTCTCATAGACATGCTATAGGTGTTTGAAGTTTGATATTGTTTGTATCCTCTGCATAACATGATTCCTAATTGGTGATTTTTGGTTTTGGTAGTATTTCAAAGGCAGTGAGTAAGTTACAGGCCAGTAAGCATTGTGTTGCATCCGGCAAGGCTGAGCTTTCAGATGTAGTAAGAGTTGTGCTCTTTGGATATGTTGATTTGTTGGTTCTTAACAAGAATGCTGAAAAAGGGAAAATAATGTGTGTCGAACTTGTCAACTTGCAAAATTATCTATCTTGTAGAGATGACTTTGAAAGAAACTTTGGAAAAAAAAAATAAAATTGCGAGTCAAAAGAAAAGGTGATTTAGCAACATTGGCAATTATGTCTTCGATCATGTGGAAGTCAGATTTATCAGTTCTGATAATTTATACTGTCAAAGATCAGCTTTTAACACTGGTTGCAGTATTAATTTTTCCCAGTTAACCATTGGTTATATGCTATCTTTTGCATGTTGCGGATGGTTAGAGGGACGTGATCACTTGAACTCTTTGGCTTCTACATCTGAGGGAGGGAGGGAAGGCATCATCACCTTGACATGCTTCAGTCACGCCATCAGGGAGTTCTTTGTTCTATTCTTGTGCTTATCTATGTATTTGGATGAGAAGGATTTGAAATCTGGAATAAAAAATTCAGGTTTTCTATGAAAAAGATTGGGAGAGATTGGACCACCGTTACTTGCTGCCTGTGTAATGAGAGAGTATTTCTTCAGTAGTGAGATTTGCAACAATGTTACATTTCCTTTGAATTGAAAGACTTTACATTTCCTTTGTTTTTGTGGTATCCCTTTGCATACAGTGGTGATCACTTTCCACAGAGAGAAGTTTAGATCACTTAAATCTAAATATTACTGACTAAGTGAAAATCTTCTGTACGAAAAGAAAGAAATTCTAGCATGTGAAATCCACTTCATCTTCTTCTTCTGATAAACTTCTTACCTTGCGCATCTTCCTGTACGATGCGCAGCACTTCCTTCGGAGGACTATGGCGCCAAACTTGAGGTTTTTTAAAATGATAGCCCATCTGGGCAAATTTATCAGCAGCCCTATTTCCTTCCCTATAAATATGTGTCAACATGCAATTATTGAGTGCTGGAATAATTGAGTTTATATGGCCAACGTGTTTTTGTACTTCCGCACAACTAACTCGTCGCTTTTTAGCAATGATGTCAACTAAGAACTTGGAGTCTCCTTCAACCCAAACATCGCTCCAACCATCCTCCAGGACAAGCTCCAGGCCTCTCTCAAGGGCGACCAATTCTGCAATCGTGCTGTTCTTTTGACCAATAAATTCAGAATATCCAAGCAAGAATTCAGCCTCATGGTTTCTGAGAACGCCTCCAATGCTTGCTTTCCCTGTCCTGCACTTGCAAGAACCATCAAAGTTTAACTTAGTCCAGCCAATCTCTGGTTTCTTCCATGCCACGAGAACTGGTTCTTTGTGCCAATTTCTGACTATAAGCCCAACCGGCCTCTGCAATGCTCTTCCACATCCGAATGATTTAGTAAAAATAAGCTTCATCTTCTACCCTCTATCTTTTTTTTTCTGGCTTAACGATTTGTAATTTCTTTATTAACTTCAAAAGAATGATGAAGAAAGAACTTGAGCGCTTAAAACTGTGAAAATGGCTAAGCTTGAAGACCATTTATGAAGAAGAATCTGCATTACATGCAAAAAGGGTCTTGAAAGGAAGGGAAGAAATATGTGACCTTAACCACATTACAAAAATGCAAGGAACACCTTTAAGAGATGCTTGCCCACGAGTAGACGTACAAAAGATGGTGAAGGACATGAACGGTTTAATTAAGTTATATGAAAATTCAACGTGAGCAACACTTGAACATTTTCGGACGCAACAGAAGTAAAAATTTCCGTAGGAACTGAGAAGACTAGCCCAGCAATTCACGCATTCTTGCAAAGAAAAGTTGGAGTATGGGGAAAGTAAGGTAGTTTAAGCATATTCCCATTAACAAAGCAAGGAAGTTGACGGAACTCAAAATCCAATTCAAGAATCTTTGTTCGTAGGGGAAAGCTTATAACATTTTATTGAAGTCGTTAATCTGCATTATGAATTTGTAAGTAGCAAAAGCGTGAAAGCCACGTACCAAAATTGGGCATGGGCATGCATGGATAATATTAGTGGACTAGTTTTTTATCAAATGGTGACCACGGTTTGCCATCGCGGGTTGCAGTCTCGTCGCGGTCTCGGTTATTCTATATCCGTCGCGGCATATCGGTTGAATATCGGATGATACGCACATTATAGCACATGAAAGTTTTCAAAAAATCTAAAAAAATTACTAAAATTAGAAAATACCAAAAAGACACAATTTGAAAAATATTCGAGTGACTCCAATATATCGGCTGATACCATACATTACGGATTCAAATCGGCCAATATCGGTTGAGTCAGAGCTCGGTATCGTACCGATCCCCTCCGTTCCGGTTACGACTCAGGCTGATACATATCGGTATCGGCCGATATTGCTAGCCATGATGGTGACCATTGACCTTCAATTGTACCTGTTTCGGTCTTTCAGCTTAGATCAAAGAAGACCACTAAGTTACTTTATTAACTAATTAGTAGTATAGCACAAAAAATGGAAATTAATTTGTCTATCCAAAAAGATTTTGAGTTTTTTTCTTTCACTGTTTCACGCAAAAATATTTGGGCTGTGATGTTACATTTTTGTTCAGGATGCAATATTTGGAGTCCGAAAAAAGGAATATTTCGTATTTCAACGTTCAGTGAAGACTTAATTGTGTTAGAGAAAATAACTTTCCGATTTTCTGAGTTTTAAACTCATTGCTGACATTTTAAATTTTTGTAAAACTACGTCTAAAGCTCTAAACAAGACGATGCTGGCCATTTGCGGTAAAATGCACTAAATCCTCCTCAATTATACCTCGGATTGTAATTTACCCTCCTAAAGTTTTTATATAGGCAATTTAGCCCCTTTATGACATTCTTAGACAAAATTATCTTTGCTACATTAATTGCTTTTCTCGTTCTTATTCACCTATTCGTTTTTTGTTTTCTCATCCTTCCTTTTTTTTCTTGTCTTT